AGTGTTGGGTCTTCACACTCTACCATACAGTTAGTTATTTACAATTATTTTAGTTCAACTAATTTCTAATAGTATTTCTAGCTGATGACTCAAAGGATATTTAATCCTTCAAACATGACTTACCCCTACAAGCCACTGCTTCAAAAGGTGGCCTTCTTTTAGTCCTTTAAAATCCAGTGTTTTTATACAAGTACGTACCAGATGCTTTAACATACTGAAACCGTATATTCTGCCAACAGAATGTGCATGTGTGACATATGGTTCTCAGAATAGACACCGATTGTTTTCCTGTACAGCATTAACTGGTTGATCAGTGTAGCAGAGGTGTAATGCATTTCCTATGACATACAAACTAAATTCATTTATTTTACATAGAACATTTCACTCTTTAAAGGGTTTAACACTGCTATTTGTCAAGTTCATGACTTGAATAACATGCACACTGTGGGATGCTTGGTTTGATCTAAGATATTTCACATGCTTGATAGGTTAAAGGGCGATGAACATCTAACAAAATTGGAGAGCAAAAGGTAGCTAGACTCAACTAGGACTTCATCATTATTTATAAATAGCCTGTTGTCTGATTTAAAAAACAACTATAAAACAAGCAGCTGCAAGCTTGCACTAATTCTGCTACATAAAATTTGCAAGTATTTTGTGTGGAAAAACATGATGCAAATTCTGAGGCTAATTAAAACAGTTTTGTAGAATTGCTCTTTCAAGGCACTGGACTACCAAACATCAAGCAGTGTTATCTTTCCTCTGGCAATGCTCATTATATTATATCACAACTTATGTATACTCAAAATACAATAATGATCTTCATCCAGTACATATATATATATATGAGATGCTGCATGCAAATTCATCACAAAAAGTTATGGACAAACAATCATTGGAACAATGATGAAAAATACAGTATTATTATATAACCTCAATTTAACTCCCAAGACAACATTCAAATATCAACAGTGGGGTTCTCACAAATTAGCACCCAATGCTGGAACATTTTGAGCATGAATATGATCTGTTTCTTACAGCAGCAAGATACTTCTCCATTTCATTTTCTTGACTGCTGTGGCATATCAGACACTTCTGAGAAAATGTATCTTAACAGTGTAAGTGTGATTTACCTATTAGTCAAATCTGTTAAAAAAACATACAATCTACAGTTTATCATAGGATTGTAAGTAAAACAATTGGGGTGCAATACATCATTACAAGTCACACAAGTTTTTTTATTCATATAGCTTCTAGACCAGCACAGGAAGAAACTGTTAAGTACATGTTATCTGCCCTTGTTCATTTGCAAGTCACTCTAATTAGATATTTTGGTGTCAGTTAGGTGACCAGCTGCATCCAAGCAAAGATTATATTTAAAAAAGAATGTGACTTGCAATGTTCTGCATCAAAACTTTCAATCACCGATATAAGTGGCATTCACTCTGAAATTACAACACTGATAATTGTAAAAAAGGACTAAATATTAGGCCTGCCAGAATAACTTAGTATGTCACATATGATTATATTTTTTTTTATAAATACAACATAACTAATTATTCCAACATGTTAGAATGTTGTTCCCAAAAGATACTTTGTAATACCTAGATAAAAAAGAGCAGTGACTCAGTGTAGCTACAGTTCATCATAAGACATTCTGAACCTGCTCTGAATATCTGTAACAGATCCACATGTGTGTATGTAGGCACGCACAGCCACACACAGAGCCTTATGCTGGTTGCATACCATTGTCAAGACAACAGTGTCTGGCCTCTGCAATCTCTCCAATATTACTAAGTTTGACTTATGTTAGATCCCTTATTTAAGAAGAATTTTCAAAATCTTTGTAAACTAATTCACAGTCCTTAAATTCAGATGAAACACTATAGAAACAATATGTTGAAACCAAAGGCTGTTCACTAGTTTATGATGTGCTGCATAGGCTTATGTTTATGCCATGCCAATAAACTAGTATGTGCAAATGGTAAAGATGGTACTGCTGCGGTAGCAGTAACATAATTTAAGTTTTCAGAAGTCTGAGCACAAAATCTTTATTTTTCTGACATCAGGATAACATTAACTTCAGAATGAGTGGTTGTATTCTGCATAGGTGCTTCTGTTCGTTCAGAATGTCAATTAGTGGAAAATGCTTACAGAATTCTGTATATAAAATTAAAAAGTCATGGAGACAAAGTACAAGCTCCAAAATCATTGTATTGTAAATCTTTAATTAGAAGGTACATGCTTAATTTATGATGTTGTGTTCAGTTTGTGTGTTCCCAAAAAATTCAGACATTTAAATCAGTGTGCTCCTTCCTGTACGTCATCTATGTGTTAAAATTCAGTATATAGTACACCTATGTACACCAATAAGAATGTAGCTCTACCATATCTCAGGTGGTTAGTCACCAGTGTTCCATCTTGGTAGCTTTTGTTTGATCCCAGTTCAAGCTGTGACAGATTATTGGGCAAAGTGGCAGTGTGGTGGGATTTCTCTGAGTACTTTGACGTCCTCTGCCAATTTTCATTCTACCAACTGCTCAACATTCATTAATTATTCTCTCATCTGATGCTATATATTCTTGATACTGATGTCATGAAATAAACAATTAAAAATAAATAAGAAACTATAAATCACATTTTTTATATATATATATTTCACCAAGAAACTTATCACACAGTTCTATCTTTCACTCTCAGTTTGAATTTTATGTGCAACAGTGAAAGTTTGTTTGTTTCTCATTACCAAGAATTGTAATATGTTCTTACTTTGAATTTGAGAAATACATCTGTAATTGGAGTTCAGCTGTCTGGTTTATTTTATATTTATCTAACTATTTAATGTACTTAGTATCACAATAGATAACGCTATATGTGCTCCCTTCTCCAGAACCAATATTTATTTAAATGATCCATTCCCAGAAATACCATTATCTGTGTTTTGTATACCATCATCAAATCTAGACGATTCTATCATTCAAAGTCTTGCCACCCCATGATTTCAAATTAAGTTTCTCTTATTTATGTTGGTGACTACTTTATTTTAATCAAAATTAACTTATCAGGAAAGAGTAAATGGGTTATTCTCTATGGGCACATGTGCATGTGCTTCTGCAGTGTGATAGAATGAGGTAAGCAGTTAAAATGTCTAGCTGGCTATCAGTATTTCTAAACCATATCAAATGTGTGAGGAGTGAAATTCAGTGCATCTTATCCTACAACACCAAAGAACTGCTTAAAACATTTCCTGATTTCCTGTTCAGTTCATTATGTTCACATTTTCTTCATTCTTCAGGGAAGAATGTTGTTATACTATTCTGCATAAGAATGCATGAAGCAGTCTGGTATCTCCATATTAAGGTTCCACTTTAACTGGCCAAACCATCTGTTGAATCATGCATATGCCAAATTTTGGGGAGCAAAGATGAATGTAAATATGCCCCTGCACTAAATTAGGCACCACACCAAGAAGATGTACGGGTAATGGATGTATAGTCCTATCATTTTTAAACTCATCAATACACTGAGGTGAGTTGTCAGTTTCATGTCTTGGCCACATTACCGCCAAGGAAAGTGATCCTGATACCCAATGGGTAGGAGGCTGGGTGGGTCCCAGATGAGTCTGGATGTAGTAGAGGAAAAAGTCTCTGCCCCTGCTGGGTTCAAATGTCATCAAACCCTGAAGTCTAGTCACTATATTGACTGGGTTATCCTTATGATGCTGGAAGACAGCAAAGGGATAAGAATTGCAGTTGCATGTGTTACAAGAAAGTACAAGTATGTAGCCACAGTTTCATGAGGACAGAATGGATATCATAAACATCAGTAAGGTGCTCTTCATCCATTCTGGTCCATTGCTATTTTACTTTCACAGACCTACAGCAGTAACTTGTGTGATGTTTGGGCAACAATTGTCCCAAACTAGAACAGATGTTTCTTACATATCGAATGCTTAATAAACAAAATATATATTTCTAAACCTACTGTCATCCCATCAGTGCTTCTTTTTCTAAAAGTATGTTTTCTTGTATTTCCACACTTGGATTTAGCCAACCAAAAGATGTGAAACTTCTTATTTTTGACAAGTTTTCTGGTATACTCGCACATATCACTGCATACTGACTGAAAAAAGTGCTGGATCACAGTCATTATTTGCACCAGTCTGTCTTCATTGGATTTTCCGTAATTTATCAGTGGTGATAAACACACACACAGGGCAAAGTACTGAATTTTCCATGTCTTAATTTGAATATTTATGCTGAATAATTATTTTCGGGAACAAGTTTTTGGTTTACTTTATAGGGAAATTTAAACTGCTATTAACCATTTTAATTTTCTGCAGATATAGTCATATATAAATGTAATCCTAAAATTTCTTGTTCTGTTATGTTTAACAGATATAATATTTTAAATCATGTTCTTCATTTTCAAATCACAGTTCTCACTTAGTATCATAAGTAGCTCTTAAAAATAATTTGTAATTTGCTGTCCTTGAGCAAATTTCGACGTCAGATAACAATTTTCACTTAAAATGGGTGGCTTTACTGGGCAGAAATTGTTATTACAAATCGGAATGCTGCCTATGTGGGATTCTCAGTCTTCTATTTCTCACTGCAGATTCATCAGCAAAAGTCAACCTGCTTTGAGTAGGTCTTTTGGTCTAGTTCATATATGAGTATATGCAGATCACAGGCTCGGTTATGCCTCTTTTACACTTTTAAAAGTATTCTTATCTTATAATAGGCTAGATTCAGCGATTACAAGACATATAAGTTCCTTCACAGCTCACTTTCCTTAATTTCTGTACCACTTAACATAAGCTAAAGTGTGACATTTTCCAAAAATCATAACACAATTATAGCTATATAGTGAATACCACTGATACATGTAATGACTGAACATTTTACAAGTGTTTTGTTTCAATAAGAGTTAATATTAGACGGGCCTTCTTTAAATACATATGTAAATGTGTTGCAATGATACAAACGAAAAAATGAAACTTTAACATAAATGACTTTTTATTTGGGTACCATACTCGTATTCACTAAATACAATGTTGCAGAATTTATGCGTATTAAGACTTTAGCACCGCTCACTAATCTTCAGTTAAGCTGACAGTGTTCTGACAGTAGGTGTAATTAATATTTTTAATAGGCTCTATATTTACTGAACTGGAAGCTAATAACTCTCCTTGGCCAATTAGTTTTATCTACAGGCTATGTTTATTCCCATATAAAAATATTCACTTGGATTCTGCACAGAACCCATTACATGTGTCACTTCTACACTGTTATAATCTTTGCAGTAATATATCTGTCATATCTTATGACTAAGGCTCCAATCATTTTGCTCTGCAACGAAAATTGATTTTTCAAATTTATTTTCTAAATTTACATCCTGATAAACAATATACTGAATATATGGTGGCTTATAGGCATACCAGAATTATATGTTTTTATGAATACTAATTTCTACTTGTGATGGGTGAAAAAATTACTCCTTATAGGCTGGTCTGAGTCACAGGTTGTAGAGCCTAAAAGTTATCAACACTTTCAATCCTTATGAGCTTATTTTTCTGAACATTAATACTGGTATAACATGCTACTCTTGTATTTACTAACATGTTCTCCTGGATGATGATAAACCCTTCTTTTGTGTACAATTATTATCTTTCAGTTTATAAGGCTGTGTGCTGCAAGTATATGTCCTGTTGTTGATACCTCGGTATAAAATCACTTTTCCATGTAAATGTATTCCAACTTATAGTGACAGATGTCCATTCTAATGTTCTCTGCTCTGAGTTCAAGCACTGTGTTTGGCATTTGTGTGTTTAGCAAATTTGGATTAAGATGTATGAATATGGTAAACCAATACATTATTCTATTGCACAATAGGAAATGACAATCATCACTCTCCTCATTGCTCATTTAGCATGCATTAAAAACTAATTTTATAGAAAGAAGCTTAAATACCTTCTGAGATCAGCTGTTGTAAGAAGGGTTCTCTCTAAATATATTCCATAGTAAGTAAATCAAAATGAGAAATCATGAACTGCAATTGACCACTGCAAGGTTCCTTATATTGCAGTTAAAATAGGCCAGGTGAAAAAAATAATATATCATTTACAAGTAAGTTAACATGAAAAACATTTTCTTTAATAAAAATGCTACCATCTAACATAATGTGATCATTAACCTAATACAATCTACCCCCACATATACCTAGTTTAATTTGCCTTGAAAGTAAGGGAAAAGCTGGTAAGTAAATATGGCATATATTTATCAGTCAACTAAGATTTACATCTCCTTACTTTCTAGAGCTGTTACACAAGTCCTGAGTTAGGTTTCCTGAGAAGGGTATCATGGTTCCCCTTAGTCCCTATAGGAAATTGCCAGGACAGCACATTGTAGGCCACTGTCAGAGTTCCTTTCTTCAAACTATCAAGATTAAATTATCACAATATTCCAACGCCTCTCCTCCTTCCAATCCCACCAAACCACAAGCATTAGCCTTGTAATCTAACAGTATATTATATTCAAATGTTAACCATGCAATCGTGATGAAAAATATCACTGACCTTTTGTTTTTAAACGTTTTATCAGTTTTGTTTTATTATTAACATCAAGCAGATTGTTTCAAGATATATATATAGTTGCATTATGCAACTTTTCACAGCAAAATTAAACTGATTGGAGCCCCAGTTCTTAGCCATTCCTATCCAGGAACCTTGCACACAAACTGGACAAAAGCTAAGAATTTCGTTCTCAGTCACAAATTCACAAGGTAGGCACTAGCTCCATTAGTTTTCCACTCCTTACACCAAAAATGATTAGTTCAATATTTTATCACTTCCATTTTGGAATATGGTTGTCCAGTATTTCAGCAATTTTTGTTACAAAATTTAAAATTTCCCTAAAAATTAGAATACTGAATGGTTATGTAGTAAATCTAGCATCATCTGGAGTTGAGCACAATGATGAAAATTCCTAGAAATACAACAATGGGAAGTAATGTTGTATCTTTTCCAGCTGCAAGTGACTTTTCATCACACTGTCCTGCAGAAATAAGAGACAAAATTTCACATTTACATATTTTTAGTATATGAACACTTCAATAAATTATTCACATTGTACCAAACACCTAAAATATTATGCAGGGTGGCTAGAAACAAAGTGAAAACTCAAAGCTCATGATCTTCTGGGGTGTAACATTATGTAATTTGAAGAAAGCCAAATATTTTGGAGGAACATAGTGCATTCATCTTCAGGGTCAAATAGTAAGCCAATCAAATTCAACTCAGATTGCTGCCTGCTTCTGCTGGCTTCTTGCTTGGCTTACTAGCTGACCCTGAAGACAGAGGCAGTATGTTCCCCCAAAATGTAGGGCTGTCCCCAAACTGTAACCGTTCATCTGACTGGAGGAGTGTTGTGTGAAAATTAAATTTTGTATTAAATTAACATTAACAATAGTACAAACAAAGAGATCCGGCAGATAGCCAGCTCTTACACGCGGAAGGGACATAGTTCAAGTTTTGCTATGTGAACAGGAAGTAACATCTGGTACTTTCCTGGAATTCTGGCAGTTTCAGCAACGTCGGAAAGGCTTTGAGAAAATGAGAGCTGACAGCTTGGGACAGCGATAACTTAGAAGTGGGACGGCCGGAGCCTCACACCCTGACCGTAATACATCAAGGGACTGTCATCCTTAGCGTCAGGTCAGCATCTGCCAGAATCACATAGCAGAGCAACATGATTGGGAATTCAAAATTTAGGGAACCTCCTAGTTTGGAAAATTAACCAATGGTAGAAGTGGAGGAGTGGATTTCTCTGGGAGTCTGGGGTTCGTGGACCTCAGAATTCAGAGAGAGGGCATTCCACCTCGGAGAGTCTTGACACTACTTTCGGCAAAGTCGGACACTAAATTTACCACTACGGCCCTTCCGTAGAATAGTATAAGTACAGTACCAAGCAACAGTAGTAAGAAATTCAGTTGTATTAAGAAAGCCGGAAGGTATTAAAGGACTACTAAGTGCAACCGTCGAAAGGTGGGTGATTGTAGTGAAGTGTTCTTCCTGCCCTGTCCGAGCCAGACCCTTATAAGACCCTGGGATAGGAACTCAACTCCACCGACTACCAAAAAGAACCCACAGAAGTGAGCGGCGAGAAAGTGGCGCACAACGTAAAAAGGGCACAAAGGAAGTGAGCGGTTACAAAACTTAACAGTGATAAAACCCAGAAGGCTGTGCTCCTCATAACCACTGCTGTGAGGATTAAAGATCCAAGAAAGTAAAATCCTGTCTTAATAACAATTCCTGAACAAGAATACTGAACCCTATGTTATACTTATGGTTCAATGTCAAAACACAATACTAAGTTTAAATAGGCAAGTAAAGAGACCAACTTACTCTGCGGTTATGTTCATATATCTGATTCAGAAATAAGGACAACAGTAAAGCAAATAAAGATTTAAATGCAAAGATGTTAATATGGGTTACGGTCATAACCACACTGTAGGTGATTCCTTGCAAAAATTTACAGCCTTTATTGAATGAAGAAGATAAAATATTTTCATTTATAGTTGTCCAGTTCTAGAGGTCTAATGTTAATTAACAGCCAGAATGAAGCATTGAATACTAAGGACACCATGTCTGTCTTTAACCTGCTACTCAAGCTACTCAATGATTGACTGGAGAATTTCCTTTTACACCTTTCTTAAATTATGTTTAATTTCATATAAGTTACAGCATGATTCCCCAAGAATATCTCCATAAAATATAAAATCGTTCAAGAAATTCGTTTTCAATGCACTACCTGTTATAAAACACTCATATCACCAACGAGTCATTCATTACGTACCATTTAACGTGAGGTTGAAGGCCCATTCTGCTGATGAAGCTGGATTAATATTTCGCTTACAGCTCTCAGCAACACTTGCGACCTGCAGCGGGCTTCCTCCCCCTCCCCCGTCCCCACCAGCGGCAGTTGCGGTATCTGTCGCCATGTATATAAAGCAAAATCGACGAGCTCCCACAGATTTTCGGCTTGTAGGAGACGCAATTAAATAATTCGTACCATTATCTTCCCAGCTTCCATGACAGGAGTAGGCTGTAAATGACCAGTAGAGATACCATCACTTCATCAAACATTCCTCATACACATGAATGCATCATGTAAATTTCTTATGGAGACAATGGGAACTAATTCGGTTATTATATAACAGTTTCATATAAAATAAATCTATAAAAATTAACAAAAAATAGATTACAAAGAATAAACTAACTGCACTGAATGCAGCCTTTTGTGAGAACTGACAGTCCTTCAGCTGATAAGAAGTTACCTGCCTTTCACAGGAACCTAAATTTTCAATATTCCATTCAGAAGATCCCAAAACTCTACTGTAATCTGAGCTACTGTCCACACCCCAACATCATATTCCTTCATGGTACTTTCTTAATTTTATCCTTTCATATAAACACTATCTATGAAAAGTAGATTTCGTGATGCATTACAGTGCATTAAACTCTTTCTATAAATGTATAATATTAATTTTAACTGTTCAATCTCCTTCCATTTCTCAGTTGAATTTATACATATTTCTGTTGCAAAATAAGAAGAGCCATTTCTCTATTCACATCAATTTTATACACAGAAAGCAAGATTTTCATTTCACACACCAAAACTATGGATGGACTACTGTACTGCTCTGGTTCTGCCATTTTGTAATTAATCAGTCTTGTTGATTTCATCATATAAAGAAAAAAGAAACGGTTTATGTTATGTAAAAAAAAATATTGCACCTGTTTAAGTAGTTGCATAATTCCATTCTAAACACTGATACAAAGAAACAAGCAGAAGAATTTACAGTACTTAAAACAAAGAAACAGTGGTTATGAGAAACTTACTAGACGTTTCAGCAACACTGCAAGAAGAATGAAACTGCATGGTGTTCACTTCAGTGCATCCAACAGTCAAGCTTTGGAACTGTAGGTCACTACATTGGGTTATACTTGTCTCGGTGTCAGACACAACAGAGGCACCTCCACTTGGCCTAGTGGAGAGACCCGTCACAATGTATCGACCGAGATATGGACATGGACGTAGATGTGGTTTTGCAGCTGTCAACAACGAAAATAATTTATCTGAGTTAAATTGTCAATTTGTTTTACATTTCCCTATTCTGTAACAACAAAGAAAAATTAATTTCAGTACATTAATCAAGTGTTTTATTAAGTACAATTTGTTGATATAGAAAGTGTAATTAAAATATTGCTTTTAGATTGTGCTCTTTGTGTTATGGTACCATACGATCTGGTAAGTAATCTAACATTAGAGAATTAAAGGTAATTACATTATTTAACATACAACTGTCCTTTACACTGTTATTGCTACTTTCAGAACTTACTGATGAGAGTTATATAAGGTAGTATGACTGGGTTGAAAGTCTGTGGCTGACAAGCTTCTTCAGGAACACGAACCCATTTATCTGAAAATCAAAGAGAAGTTGTGAGCAGGTATGAAGTATCACTGAGCTGGTGTTCATGCTATTGTTGGTTCTTCAAATAACTGACTACATCAACAAAATCACAGTTATTAATATAGTACTGTCATGTCATAAATGAACAGTAAATAAGTGAAGTTACATCTTCTGGAATATGATACTGCCTAGTGAACAGAAAGACAACAGATGTTTTGGAGGAAAGTGTCACCTCCAACTTCAGGATTTAAGAGTAATCCAAGCAAGAAGCCACCGTGAAGCCAGCAGCAGTTGGTGCCAGTTGAATTTCAATGGATTATACGGTGTTATATCCTAGAAGGCAAAACCTTTCATAACCACCAATGTGAGGGCCGCAGATCCTATGAGTAAATAACTTTCAAAAAATAAAGAGGCAGGTTAGCTCAGTCGGTATAGCAACTAGACTATGGGACTAACAGCCGTGGAGACAGGGTTTGGTTGTTTGAAAGGAAAAGAAACTTTCTTCGCTTCGCATCATCCAGATCAGCCATGGGGACCACCCAGCTTCCTACATAATGGATACTGGGGGCTCTTTCCTTTGGGGTAAATCAGCAGAGGTTTGAAGTTGAGCACTCATCTCCATCTAGCGCTAATGTTAAGATGATGGAACTAACTCTTTTTTTTTATTCCTCATATGTCTTCATGCAATGGTGCTTAATTAATTCAAAATAAGCCAATATTGCAAGTAACTTTAATTCCAGTGCAATAGATAGTACTTACTAGACTGCTGAAGCTCAATCACATGACCATCCCTCCTGTAGAACACCATGCAGACATAACCACTTTGACTGTAATATATTAAGAACTCTCAATTAAACACTCCATTTTCATTACAGACATACGTTAGCAATTATTTCCTAAGACTGCTTCTTAGCCTCATGCCTTACAAATTTTAATCTCTTTAAATAGTTTCAATCAACTAAAATGCAGACTATTTTCCTCATTAAATAATAAGAAGGGCTGTAGAAACTTTTCTAAAATTTACAGTATGTTATTTGAATAATTAGTGATCAGTAAAAGGAACATTATTTGAATTGCTTAGTACAACAAGATCTATGCTAAAAATGGCAGAGGACTTAATTAAAATCATGTAAAATACTTAACGTTATTTAACAGTAACTATTTTTCTATATGATACCTAGGCAACCACGTTACAAGTCTGAAGACCTACAGCATGTGATTTTTTAAATCCTTAAATACGATATGCCAGTGACAAATACCTTTAATACTTAATGCTGTTTCATTTTCTAAAGTAAACATGATGCTTATGACTGCTCTTATCATATCTTGCTTAAAATTTGTTTTAGAGTGCTTTGTCTTCGGGTACAACAATGGATCTTGGGGCACTTAATGGGTTGAACAAGTCTCAAGGAAATGACTAGCATGATCCTGGAGGTGGGAAGGATGGGTACCAATGTTGGGTTACACATCCTACCATGTTGCTACGTAATATCATGGCACAAATATGAACTCTGAAGTATAAATCACTTTAATTTTACAGTACAATGTATACATACAAATTCACACAAGTAATGCACAACGTGAGGCCGACAGTATCTCTTTTTGCTCTGATTTCCAGCTTGACTAACTGGCTAATTGTGTCACTGTTAAATGCCTGTGTTCTGTCTTTGGTTAATGGCCCACTATCTGATCAAATGGGTAATGAGACTTCCTACTTCCAAACGATTAATTTCTACCTAAGTCATTACTGAACTAAACATAACTCACTAATTTTACCAACCAATTTCTGAATTACCAATTGCCAAGTGGGTACCACAGGGTGACTCGCAATTATCCACCTTTCAATAAATATCCAGCCCACAGTCACTGAATCTGAATGCTTTATCTTATCTTCTACTCCAGTTTCATCTTATAAAGTGTTCCATTTTCTGGGATATAACGATGTATAGTCCTTTGAAAGCCAACCGACTTTTAGGAGGAACATATCCCCTCAACCTTCAGGGTCGAAGAATATGCCAACAAGAAACCAGCAAGAAGCAGTTAGCAAACAGACCCAGGAAATGAATGCCGAAAGGGACAGATGGTTTTCTTTCATATAACATGCATTCGAGTGTGGGGTCAATGCAGCCCCTTACACAATGGGTACCTGGGTTTAGTTCCCCAGTGGTAAACTGGAAGAGGCATGAAACCGACTCTTTGTCTCCATCTAGACCAGAGACTGAGAGTGTGTAGACCTACATCTTCACTCCCCTTGTATCTTAATGGTGTGGTGCTTAATTAAACAACAACAACAACAACAACAACAACAACAACAACAAAAACAACAAAAACTCAGTGATTTTAGTCCGCAAGCGAACTATACCGACCGAGCGACCGCCGCTTGTCGGCGAAGTTAGTGCCAACTTTTGCGGATAGAGGGTGTCGTGTGGTCAGCGCAACGAATCCTCACACAAGGACAATATTAAATTACGGTAATATTCGAGTGGCATTCACCAAAACGAAATTCACAAAACAATATTTAAACCTCCAACACAAACTCAGTTCGAAATCTGCTGAATAGTTTCTTGGCTGAAACAATCAGGTTAGTGGATAAAAGGGCAAACAGACATGCCCTTCGTTCATTTCATACTCAGTGTGCAAAGAGAGGACAATAAATTAACATGGATTTAATAAAATATGTCCGTAAGTGTTGCACAAACAGAAATTTAAGAAGACGACACAAAAAACTGAGAAATATGATCATGGAAGTCTTCAATGATTAAGTCAATCTTTGAACATCTGGTATCTTGGGATATAAACCAGTTATCTGCCCAGTGAATATCCTACCAATAATTCTGCTTGGTTGATAAATGCAGAACTTTGATCTCTTGTGCTTCTTTCCGCTACTACTTTAAATCTAGTAGGGATTCCTCAGGGTGTTCAAGATTTTAGAAATTCGATTTTCTTGAAGCGCAACAGCCTAGGCTAAAATTAAATTATCGAAAGAGTACATTATAGAGCAATGACCCGTTACTGGGTAACGACCTCGATACATAGAACGGAACAACATCTGCTGCTAGGCAACATATTCTTAATAAGCAAGTATACGCAGCCGTGAATGGGTAGCGCCTTAGCAAACAAACACGTTCCCAGGGAAACGATTGGAGTAAAACAATTAACAGTGTTTTCTACTCGGGTTCAATCCCAGTCTACAGTCACTCCCTCTACTGAAAATATATTTTGTTGCTAATTGACTTATTACATAGGCAAGAAGAAAATACCCTTGATGGAAAAGACGACTTTGACGTAACTGGGACAGATTATTCGGGAAAGTGAATGGCTAAAAGTCAGGGGTTCGATTACTGACACTCAACCTCCTATATCAAGGGTACCAGGGGGTTCTTCCCTTCGGGGTAAAGCGGCAGAGGCCACTCATTCCTATCTAGTGATGAGGTCAAGAATGGTGCAACTGTACCTCCATCCACCACAGGGCTTAATGGTGCAGTGCTTCATTAATTAGGCGCAGGGGTGACTTTACCTCTCTGTGGTTACTCTTTTGAAAATTACAGAGTTCCAACGTGCTAAAGGTAGGGCAGGTCTGGCAACAACGTATTTCCGGTGTATAGTTACCACCCTAGCAGTAACTTAGTGAAGGATGAGAATGGCGATCTGCTTGCAGATTCCCGCAACATTTTGAATAGGAGGAGGAACTACTTCTCTCAGTCAGGGTCAGTGATGTTAGGCAGATAGAAATGCACACAGCTAAGCCGTTAATACCTGATCCCAGCCCTTTTGAGGTTGAAATTTGTATTGCAAATTGAAGATGTATAAATCGCCAGGTAGTGATCAAATTCCGGTAGAACTTATTCAAGCAGGAGGCGAAATATTACGTTCTAAGGTCCACAATCTAATTACTTCTATTTCGCATAAGGAAAAATTGTCTGGTCAGTAGAAGGAATCTATTAATGTACAAGTTCACAAGAAGGGTGATAAAACTGGCTGTAATAATTATACGGGGAAATCACTGCTATCAACTTCACACAAAATTTTACCCAATATTCTTCTCTCATGGTTAAGTCCATATATACTCGTAGCTAAAATCATTGGGGATCATCGGTGTGGTTGCCGACGTAACAGATCAACTACAGATCAGATCTTTTGCATTCGTCAGATATTGGAGAAAAAATTGGAGTACGATGAGACAGTACATCAGTTTTTTTTGTAGACTTCAAGAAAGCCTATGATTCAGTTATGAGGGAAGTATTGTACAATATTCTGATAGAGTTTGGGATACCCATGAAACCAGTTAAGCTGATTAAATTGTGTTTAAAAGAAATGTATAGTAAAGTCTTTATAGGTAAACATCTGTCTGATAAATTTCCTATCCAGAATGATCTAGGACAAGGAGGTGCTTTATCGCCACTCCTTTTCAACTTTGCTTTAGAATATGCAATTAGGAAGGTCCAGGAAAACCACGTGGGACTGAAATTAAACGGGACACATCAGCTGTTGGTCTATGCCGATGATGTGAATCTACTGGGCAATAATATAAATACCATATAGAAAAACACACAAACTTAATTGACGCAAATAAGGAGGTTGGTCTAGAAGTAAACACTGAGAAAACTAAGTATATGTTGCATTCTCGTGACCAAAATGCAGGGCAAAATCATGACAAAACCACAGAAAACAGATGTTTTGGAAATGTGGCACAGTTCAGATATTTGGGAACGACGATAACAAATCAAAACCTGTTTGAGGAACAAATTAAGAGGACATTGAATCTGGTTAATACTTGCTACCATTCGGTCCAGAACCTTTTGTCTTCTCGTCTGTTGTCCAAAAATATAAAATTTAGAATATACAAAACTATAATGTTGCCTGTGGTTCTGTATAGGTGGGAAACTTTGTCTCTGACATTAGAAGAGGAACATAGACTGAGAGTGTTTCAGAACAGAGTGTCGAGGAGAATATTTGGACCGAAGAGAGATGAAGTGACAGGAGGTTGAAGAAAACTGCATAATGAGGCGCTTCATAATTTGTACTCTTCTCCAAGTATAATTAGAATGATGAAGTCAAGGAGGATGAGGTGGGCAGGGCATGTAGCACGAATGTGGGAGAAGAGGAATGCATATAGGATACTGGTGGGAAAGTCAGAAGGAAAGAGACCACTGGGAAGACCAAGGCGTAGGTGGGTGGACAACATCAAAATGGATCTTAGAGAGAGAGGATTGGATGGTATGGATTGGATTGATCTGGCTCAGGATAGGGACAAGTGGAGGGCTCTTGTGAACAAGGTAATGAACCTTTGGGTTCCATAAAATGCTGGGAAATTCTTGAGTAGCTGCAGATTTGGCTTCGCCTCAAGAAGGGCTCAGCTCCGTAAGTAAGTAAGCAAACAACCCCCTTATTTAACTGCGATCAACACTTAAATTGGCATTAACAAGTAAGGGGTTTCCAACATCCAGGGAATAACAGTGCTGTGCGGTAATAAAATGTAATATTGTCCCTGTGCTTGGCTAATTAAGTACTACGCCATGAAGGTGTATGGGAGAGTGGTTGTATAGGTCCACGTTTTCTTGATCCCGGCACTAGTTCGAGGTGAGAGGCAAGCTTCACGCTTGGCCGCTTTACCCCAAGGAAAGAACCCCCGGTCTACATTGGATAGAAGAATGGTTGAGCCCCAGAGCCACCCTGGACCACGTGGGGAAGAGAAAATTCTTACCCTACCGGGACTCGAACTCTGACCCCTCGGTCGTCCAGCCCGTAGCCAGCCGCTATACCGACGGCGCTACCCCGGTTGAAATATCACACTATGATGTTCCTCCCAAACAACGTGACCCTTCTG